CAAGATCAAGAGTCACGTGCCCTTCCTGCTGAACCAGCCAGGTACCCCAAGGATATTCACTCTTCTCCCTCCTAACCATAGTCTATTTTTAATTTATCAGTGAAGGGAGATAGAAGGATGGGATGGTAGAATGAGAATTAGGGGTGGAGAGCATTGATTGTGTTGTGTTTACGATGGGAAAGATTTTCTTGGATGTAAATAAATCCCATAACTTCTCTAGTAGTGGGTGTCCAGTCGCTGTTTTATTTTTTATGTTTAGGGCAATTTTCATTTCATGCTTTCATATGTTTTTAAAGGTTAATAAGTATGTTTGAGTGCTTATACAAACCTAAGCTGAATAACTGTTTCCCAAGCATCTGCTTGTGGAATACTGGTTTTCTAAACTTGGCTGATTGTGGGAATAGGTTCTTGGGTCCCCTTATAGATTTACTGAATCAGATACCATGGGAGGAATATTTGGAATCTCTGTTCCTTAAAACAAAACAGAACTCCCCAGGTGATTCTAAAACCTCTTGTGTATGCAGGTTTGCAAAGTGAGGCTTAGATTTTATCCACAAGGAAACTATATATTTTAAATGAAAGGCCTAATAAGATAATAGATCTTTAACTTGGGAAGAATAAAGGGTCACCCTACTTAAAAATGAGAGAGACTATATACTGGGTTCTCCATAAAGTTAAAAACAAAACAAAACAAAACAAGTTGTCAGGGTTTAAACCCTGCCGTTCATGAACATCCTTGAGTAATTCTGAAAATGGCTTGTTTAGCCTGAGATTTTTGTCTTGAAGGCAATTTTACTGGCATACAATCAGAAAGTGGTCCTGGAGCTACAGAGTCTAGGGCAGTGTTTATTTGCAAAACAAGGACAGGTTAGCCTTCTGGGTACCCATTATGAGCTGAGTGTTTATGACCTCACTAGATTCATATCTTGGTTAACTGTGTCCAAGAATCTCCTTTGCTGCTGGAGCTAAAGGCTGAACTCCATCTCAGGCCCGAGTTGTGTTTTGTGTGTTTTTTAATTATGACCTGAGTCCTTTTGAGTAAACTCATTAGCTTCCTGGAAACTCTGTAAGGGCAAGGACCATATCTCCCTAAATGTTGTGTCATATTTAGCACTGAGCCCGACATGGGAGTAGGTCTACAAAAAATACTTGTTTTTGAAATAAAATTACAGTTGACCTTTTCTAATTGTTTTGTCATATGTAACCCTGCTTCCCCAGCCAGATTTGTTTTGCTCTTGCAAGTCCCTGATGACCTTCACTGCAGAGGGTAAGGAGCACAAATCCTTGAAGACACTGCTGGCCCACACCATTTACAAAATGCCTTGTTAGAGCCCCATCCTACCACCTGCCAATCCTAGTGCTCAGTTTACACTGATGATTAAACCCTCTGTGGGCTATGTAAAAATAGGTGTTTGAAAGGCAAAGAATCCAAATGTCTGAGGTGGAGAATATACCTTAAGGGAAAGGTTAGGATACCTCACTGGGGAATAGAATCAGACGGAAAGAAGGCTTAGCCACATGAGCCAGGGAACTCAAAGCCTAGGGGTCACCAACTCACCTTTAAATCGATTTTAGTTTTCTCTATGACTGAGGGTCTCATACCACTATATGCAAAACCTCAGACAAGTCAACACATTGGAGTCCTTACTTTGACACCCCCAGCGGTCTGTGTTCCAGAAGAGGCATCTAGTAGCTGAAGGATACATTTCAGAGGATAGGCTGGATCTGAAGCAGTAAAGCTGTTGAATCTAGTTATTCTCTAGCTGTAGTTTAGCCCCTCATTGAAGATGCAGTTCTCAACAGAGTGGGCTCGACTTCGGTCTATCAAGCCAAACTCATTGAATCTGAACTAGAGCATGTCTAATCAGCTCTTGGAAGGTACATATGTACCCATTTTCTGAGCCAAGCCATCTGTCCTGGGTAGAGTGTGAACTTCGCAAACAATGATTCTCAAGGACTGTCACGTGGGGCAGGGAGTGCTACAGCCCAGAGGTTCTAGCCTCTCACCAGAAAAGGTCCAGGGGCGATCTCACTTCCCAGGAGGTATTTTCAGTCTGGTTGTAACATAATAGGTCAAGACCCTTCATGGAAAGAGAATGCCTCTGTGTTCTAGGCTCACACAAGGCAACCCAACAGTAGTGAACAGGACAGCCCTCACATCAAAAAATGATCCAGCCCAAAGTGTTAATATTGTTGAGAATGAGAATCCCTGAAGTAAATTATGTACTCTCTGCAGGGAGAATTGTGGTTCTAGAGAGTGTTAATCTGTAGATCTCCCAAGTCTCCTATTGTGAGGTTTGTTTATTTTTTATTTGTTGAGGGTCTTCAGGAAGCTGAAAGGGCAGCTTCAGGAGGAGCCTTTCTTGGATGCTCCTGCCCTTGTGGCCACAGTTCTTGCTGTGGGATGAAAGTGGGGGTGGCTTTGGATGGTGTGGAAGACTGGCAGGAGAAGAGGAAGAAAACAACTTGAGCAATGAAGGGCCAGGCTTTGCTTAATATTACAATTAGGAAAGTGGATGAGAGGGAAAAATAAAGTAAAAGTAATCAGGAGTCCAATAAAATGTTATATTTAAAAAGTCAATAAGTTGAGATTGAAAAGAAAAGATGAAAGGGAGTGAAAATAATCACTAAGAACAGAAAGGTGGAAATCTGAATTAAAACAACAGAAGGCTATAAGATGAAAAATGAAATATATGAGCGGTAGATAGGATTAAGGATTGAAAGCAGGACTTGAGAATTTAAAATGCCATCATAAAGCATTATATCAAAGAAGGATGGAGGCAAAGGACAGAATGAACTCCAATGCATGGGGGCTCCAGTGCTGGATAAGGAGTGGGAAAGGGTGTAAGACGCCAGCTCTTGCCAATGAAGAAGAGAGTGAAAGTCCAGAGTGGGGCCAGCTGGCTCAGTGGAAAGTCCCCAGTTCAAGGCAGTGTTGTCGGTACGTTGTGGACAGACCCAGGGGGCAGAGAGCACTGAGTTGGCACCTCCACGTACTAGCAGCCTAGTAGGCCCTCTCCTCGGGTGCCTGAAGGGGCCACACTGTCTGCAGTAGCTGGTTAACCTTGACTCTACAGAAACATGAAAAATTTGTAGCAATATTGCCTTGAAACTAAGTCCTTTCAAGATGAACATGTATTACTTCAGGGTATGTTAATTATTTTTAAACCAGTTAAAGTCATAGCCACTCTTTTTAAAATAGCTTCTAGCTCTTTATTTGCTTCTGAAACAGGAATTGCCCTTTTTGTGTGTAACTCCTGGCATACATTTCAACAGACATTTTTGTCATGTTTTATTTAGCATTATATGTTTTGTGAGCATTATGGCATTTCACACTGTAGGCACTGCAGATCTCAGTAATATGATTTCCATGATGCTAAAGCATGCCTACAGAGTTAAAACAAATCAGCCACTCATTTATTTTCCATCTCTGTTCCATTCATTCATGAAGGCAGTAAATGGTTACAGAACATTTGGGTCACAAGGGAGATAGTGAGACGTGACACAATAGTGAAAGGTCTTCCCATCTGGTAGGGAGAACTTGATATCCATAAATAGATAGAAATAAGAAAAGAAAAGAAAAATGCAATATATCTCCCTGCTCTTAGGCAGTTGTACAGAAGGATAAAGCAAGTATAGGACATTCCAGGCAGAGCAAGCAGCATGTACAAACCCATAAAGCCAGGCAATAGCATGGGAGAGATCTATGGAGTTGGTGTGTTGTGGGAGAAGCCAGAGCTGCAGAGATAAGGTGGAAGAAGGTGGTTGGAGTTGCCTCAGAATGGGCCTTCTTTGGCCCACATAAGTAGAAAATAAATAACAAAAACTCTCAAATAAGGGTAGAAGATAATCAGTTTGTAGTTCAGAAACCTCATTCTTTTACATTGTGGTGGTTCGAGTCATCAGAGGGCCAGGTGAGCAGTTAGAATGCGCTAGAAACAATCCAAGAAAGAAATGAGGGCCCAAGGGAAGATTGTACAGGAGGGGATAAAGTGGAGAGAGTGAATTGAGATTGTGTAACAGAATTAACAAGACTTAATGACCAATGAGACAAGGTGGTGATGAATGTGACCTCAGAGTTTCTGACTGGGTTGTCTGGTTGGATGGTGCCACCATGCCTGAGAGGAAGTAGAGGAAGAAGGGCCAGGTCTGGGGTAAAGACGTTAGATGGTCAAGTGCTATGTAAAGGTAGGGGATTATTATTGAAAAAAAGTTTCTGACTTGATTCCATAGCACACACCCACCCATCAGGCCAAATGTGGACTTGGAGACACAGACAAGATCCTGATGAGTTGATTTTGGACATGGCTTGTAGAAAAGTAGAAATGTCCAAGAGTATGGGATAAGTGAAGGTCAGGAAGGAGCTCTGGGCTGGGGTTGCATATCTGGGAGGCACTGGCTTCAGGTTGCAGCTCCTGGGTGTGTGTGACCCAGTAGGGGAGAGCAAGGCACAAAAAGATACTCAGGGAACTTAGATCATGGGAGACCAGCTCTGTGTGGGAATGGAAAGGGAAAGCTTGCGAAAGTTTGATTATTAGAATTACAGAAATAATCTTCACTGTGTTCAGTGAATCACTAGAAAGAAACCTCATCCATTGTTGGTTGGTGGGGGAGAGTGTGTATGTGTGTGTGTGTGAGAGAGATCGAGACTATTTTATACTTTTAAAATCATTCCATAGCATTTCTCTTATTTTTAAAAGGGCACACATGTGTATATGTGTGTGTGCACGTATCTTCTGTTTTACTTGACAAGCTAAGTAGAAAAACTTGGGAACTACTTACTGTCTTAGACATTTAGGTGAAGGTGACCTGAAATTTTAAGTCCACAACTATATACTTTTTAGTTTCTGACTTCCATAAAACTTCAGGAATGCATCTGTTTCTCATAAACCATAATAAGCCTTCCAGGGCAGAAGTCGCTGAGGTTATAAATGTGCTCACGTTATGCACATCCAGTTTATTGCACTGACATAAGGCTTAAGATTACTTCTGTGTTTCAGGTAATTCGGAGGTCTGTGGGGCCAGCCAGCCTGAGTCTGCTCACCTTTAAAGTCTATGCGTCACCTAAAAGGGACTCACCTCACAAAACTTCTGTGAAGGTTAATGAGGTAACATGCCGTTCATGTTGTGATATATTTTGAACATCTGCTTATTAGTTGCTATACGAAGTATACAAATTGTATGTCAGGAGACAAGATAGTTTAGAAGACATTTAAAAAGAGGAAATATATTTGCTTAGTTTTTCTTCGTGGGAAGCTACTAAGATGTAGCTTTTTCAATAAATAAACTTTAATTAATGATGTTAGCTAAAGGCATACTTAAATATTTCCTAGATTTTTTTGTGGGAAGTCTGCTCATTACCTCTAAGTGATTTGCCTCATTCCAAGACTGCTTTCAAGCCAAGAAAACATTTTGCATTTTCCCTCTCTAAGAAATTAAACACCTGGGTATGTTCTTCTTCTTGGCCAGATTAGAGGCTCATAAGGAGATGCTTAATAAATACTAAATAAATAAAGCAGGAAATCTTCTCTCCATTGTTTACATTCTTTTTTGTCTGTACTTCCCACTGATTATTTTGGATATTTGCTTTCTTTTGACTTAAAGTAGACAAAAGACCTACCTTCGATCATGGACCAGGTTACTTGAATGGTGTTGACATAAGGCTAATATGAGTTTCTCTTTTGCCCTTTATGCTCTTCTTCTCAGACCTTGTAGCAATGTGTTTTTTGTGGGCAAAGAAGGCAGCCAGTAGTGACTGAACAATTTCTTCTCTGGGTGGAGAACAAACTTGCTATCCTGCTTGGATTAGCACCAGACTAATCATTTAAACTCAATTTTTTTTTTTTTTACATCCCCTCACCACTTTAATAGAATCCTTTTTCCAGACTGACTCTAAGGTGAAATACCAAATGCCAGTATATAAAATGGAGAAAGGGGGCTGCTTTCTCTGCTACTACAGGAGTGGGAGGAGGGCAGGACCCCTCATAGTTCTGTCCTCTTGGACTTGTCCGTATTGATAAACCAGGTACAAAGATCCTCGGACGTAAGTTCAGGGTACATGAAACCCTTAGAGTCACTGCAGTTCATGAATTATTAGAAATAATGATGCTTACAAATTTGACGATTGATTACATTATCTCATGACTATATCTACTTTTTAATTTTTCTTTGTTTTGTTTTTAACATATGCAGCTTTCACTCTACTCGGTTCCTGAGGGTCAATCTAAATATGTGGAGGAGCCAAGGACCCAGCTTGAAGAAAGCATTTCACATCTCCGACATTATTGCGAGCCATATACGAGTTGGTGTCAGGTACAGCTGTTCTAAAAGTAGAGTGACACATTTCTGTTTTAGAGTCAGTAGTGGAAAGTCTGTATTGGCTGCGTGTTTTCAGAAAAAGGCATGATAGTGGGCACCAGCTTAAGAGTGCCTGACTTACAGTGTCATCAGTGCCATTTCTGAGGGGAACAGAGAGCCCCAGCTTCCTGGTAGTGGCTGTTGTCATAGCTGCAGAGAGAATTTCCTTTACCAGGCACCTACCAAGGTGTGGTACCTAGACTAGAGAGTGGACTGTGACTATCTTGTTGGTCACAGCTATGAAAGCATGATTGTTTCCCAGGAGAGGACTTGGGGCTAGAAGTCAAGTATAAGGAAAAAGATATAATGTAAGCATTTATATCAAAATTGGAAAGTTTTTCTCCTCCCAGAGAGTCTACACATCAGAACCATTTTAACAGGAACAGTTACAGAACATTTTGAATATTGTAATAGAGTAGATAACTAGAAAAGTATGGGATTATGTATTTGAGTACTGAACTATTTGTCCCAGTGACCAAAGAGCTACGTATACAGATGGGCTTCTGTCACTGCTCAGGTTTTAGATCAGGCCCTGGTTATTATGTTCATGGAAGCATTTCTGTAATTTTTAACGCCTGAAATGGAAGTTTACAGTCTACAGAATGCTTTTGTAGGCTTTGATACATAAAGTATTTGCCATACTTGATCTGGGTTTCAAAAATTGATGGCAGATTAGTAAAAATCATGTAGATGTGTGTGACATGGTCTAGCTATACTTTGCTTGAGATTTACAAACTGAATTTTCATCCAGAACTTGTCTTAAAATTTTTAATTTCAATGTCTCTGCCAATGCTGAACTTCTTGTCACCGATTTAGAAGAAAATAGTAAGCATAGACTCTGTCAACAATATAAATTAGGCCAGTATACTTAAGTATCATAACCATATTATTGAGTTACAAGTATCTAAAAATATCTTTATCTTTTACATAATGTGTTGTAAAAAGCTTAGACTTTATTGTCTCATTCTAGAAGATTTTTAAACCATCTGCTGGTTAAGATAAGGTCGGCAAATTTGTGCAAACATGTGTCATGTAGGTATGACTGCTATTATTTTGTGGGTTTTTTTTTTGGATTATAAAAGCACTTTGTCTCTTAACCTTTCAACCTAATATTGCTTTTTGTTTTTTACTTTTTCATCCGTGCATGATGCTCAGTGCAGCAAAATACCTCGTTAAATGAATAATTATCAACATGTTTGTACTACTTCTAAATTAAAAAAAAGTTTTATGATTACAATGGCTTTATTTTTCTACATAATGATGTTTCTTCAGTAGATGTATTTCTACTTCCTGGCTCCTTTTTCAGGCCAATAATATCTAGCCCCTTTCTTTAATAACTAATTTAATTTTTCTTTTTAGTGAGAAGATATTCCAGCAAAAGAAATAGGTCATCACCCTAGACATTTATCTGTAGGTTTTCTTTCTTTTTATGGGCATAAAATACCAATAATGGATTTTAATGAAGCAGTATTCAATTTTTTAATGTTCTATATTGTCCTCTTCTAAATTCACTATTTGTTGTTTAAAGGCATTTAACAATACTGCATAACTTATTCTGACTTGGACCAAATTAAATAAAACAAATCCTTTTCCAAGTGGCAACTGGTTCTAACCTTTTGATGCCCACATGTCTCTTTTCCCATCTTTATTTTAGTCTTCTTTTTTTAAGACGATTTTATTTATTTGAGAGAGAGAGAGAGAGAGAGAACATGAGTGGGGGGGGGGCAAGGGAGAGGGAGAAGCTGGCTCCCCGCTGAGCAGGGAACCTAACATGGGGCTCAATCCCAGGACTCCGGGATCATGACCTGAGCCGAAGACAGACGCCCAACCGGCTGAGCCACCCAGGCGCCCTTATTGTAGACTTCTTGAAGGTGGGATACCTTCTAGCTAGTCTGTTGTTTTCTTTAGGATATATGTTGTTCTTGTACAAAGCCATTTTATTGTTGTTATTGTCAAGAGAATGTTAATACTTCATTTGCTCCGGGATTGGGGTAAGTGTCTCTCAAACTTGGATGTAGACTCCTTACATCCCATTCAAGGTGATCATTCCTGCTTCTGAAGGGCAGTTTTCAGATACAGACTCTAAAATCATGACAGATCAAGAAATAGACTTAGTATGAAAGACAGATTTAATCTCACGGGGAAAGGATTGCCACTTTAATGATCAGAGGGATTGATTTTTGTCCATTCTCTTTGAATTTAATAGAAGAATAAAAAGGCTGGGTTGTTGAAATCATTCAACTTGTAATCTTTGCTTCCTGTGGCAATAATAAACTGTTCTACTGAGCAATCTGTGGTGAAGGGGAACTTACACAAGAGAAAAAGACAAAAAAAAAAGCCCCAGATAGACAGTATATCCCTTTGTTCAAAAAGTGTTAATAACATGATAATTTATGCAGTAAAGACAAATATATTTATTGTTGCTTTCTAATCAGCATATTCTTCTCATTCATTTTCTTTTCACCTTTTTAGGAAATGTACTCACAAACAAAGCCCAAGATGCAGAGCTTGGTTCAATGGGGGTTAGGTAAGTTGATTTTTAATTAAACACAATTTGTTTCTTCGTTAGCATTGAACTCTTTAACAGGGGTTCCATGGATGGGCTCCAGGAGATCCAGGAATTCCTTAACATTTTACGCAGAATCTTAGAGCTATGTGGATTTTTTTCGAAAGAAGATCTGTTGTGTTCATCAGATTTCAGAGGACTAGTGTCCCTAAATATTTGGGAAGTCTCTTCACAATCATTAAGATTTTTGGGCTAACAAGTTCAGATATGCTGGATTTTTTTTTTTCTGAAATCAATTTCCAAATTCAGTGACACTGACTCACACATACTCACCCCTACTAGCTCATTAGTAGGTTTTCAGAATCAGGGTAGCTCATTTGTATGGCTGTTAATACATGCTACAGAAGTTTAGAGGCAAGAAGGAACTGGGCTGGTGTGCCCAGGAAAGTCTACTGCATGAGTAGTGTTCTTATATTTTTTAAATTGGGTTTTTCTTGTCCTTGACTGTTGTTCACATCCACTTATCCCATACACTCAGAAACTGGGTTCATAGTCCATATTCTGACTTGTCTCCATCAGAAACTGATGAATTAATGGACACTGATTGGATTAATTTCCTTTATTGGGCATCTCAGCAAACAAAAACTCATGTTTTTATAAGTGTTTGCTTTCATGACCACATAAAACAAAGATAAATAAATTTTATTTCCTTCTGAAGATCATTGCGTGCTGATGTGCTGATACAGGATTTGAGCATCCATGAATAATATGTATGTTAATAAGTAACATCCTAATTTTATTAATTTCATAAGCACTTATTCAATTTTTATTACATGCCAGGAACTAATCTAAGTGCCTTAAAATATTAATTTATGTATAATCCTCATAACCCTGACAGGAAAGTGCTTTTATTACCTTCATCTTTTAATCTGAAGAGACTAAAGAACTCCTGATCTCTTGTCAGTACGTGTGTGATGGAGGAGGGGTCTCTTCATTGTTACCTATCACTTCCCATTGATGCATAGCGGTAGGCATTATTTGCAACCTAAATCTTGTCTTTCTTCTCTTGGACTGGTTACTGCAAAAGCTCTTAAGAAGAAACATTCCATTATGAGTTGTGTTGTTGTCTGCCAAGGCAATCAGTCCATTTCCCGGCAGTCACAGCCAGGACATGTTACCAGAAGCTGGGCTTAGGCTTCATTGCAGCCTTTTAGCATATCTTCTTTGCCATTTCTCTGTGATTTACCCACCTCAGCTCAGTTCACCAAGGCCATCTGGGTGACTTCCTATCAACTGCTCTGTGTGCACGTCTTGAATCAAAAACACTGTGCTGGTAGGCAAAAATAAAGGGAAGTAGAAAATTGCCTCAGATGACCCAGACAAAGAGATGGAAAGTGAAAACTAAGTTAAGGGCAAAATAAGTACAAGGCCAGACAGAAATTTGTGTGCATAGCACAAGCCCTATAGAAGTATTTAAAATGATCACTGAGTTTCCCAAACAGCCCAGGAAATGATAAACCAGCATGTGTTGGCTCATTTCTGGGGGAGAAGATTACTGAGTATTCAAGTTAGTTCAGTTCTGCACACATTTGTTAAGTCACCATCATGGCAGGCATGGAAAATCATGGCTGATTAAGACCGTGGTCACATGATCCCTGAGGGGCCCATGACACATTTTCAACATGAGCACAAATACAGAGAAAGTCCCAGACCACTGTGGAAGGTACAGAGGAAGGATATTTGTCTCATAGAGTTCAGAGGGATGGGAAGAGTCAGGGAAGGATTTCTGAGATGAACCCTAGAGTTGAGTCAGCCACGCTGCTACATGAAGGTGGAACTTCGGCAGCATTCCACGTTGGAGGACCCAGCACAATCCCGGCTCAGAGGAGTGCCTTTGTTTCCCGCACTGGAAACTGGAAGCAGATTGAGAGTGCTGCAGATAGGCTTGAGAGAGAGAGAGAGAGAGAGAGAGAGAGAGAGACATGCAGGGTTTTTCAGTGACAGCCTCTCTGAAACATTCAACACCTAGCAGTGCTTTTAGTAACTATCTGTCAGATGAACATCCCCTCTTCCCACTGAGGGAAAATAATGTAGAAGTCTATGCAGTGTACCACTGAGGAGCATATGTTCTCCTTGAGGAGACATAAAATTCACTCCTGAAGAATGAAGCACAGGGTGCTTCATATAGAATATAGGATATAGGATTTATATAGGATTACATAATAGGATTATGTTGCAAGTGATGGTACAGAGAAGAAATACAATGGGACTTTAGAGGAGGGAGGGAGAGAGGGAGGGAGGCATGGGCTGAGAAGTCTAGCAAAGGCTTTTCTGAGGAAGTTAGGAATGCAGATGGCTCTTACTTGGTGGGATTGGTTCAGCGGACAGAAGACGAGTCATCATTCAGATGAGGTCATAAGGCATGCTCAGGCATGGCACACAGGCTCACATGCTGCATTTCTATTTTTTTTTTCTGGACATGCTGCATTTCTTTGTGTTTATCTATCACCGGTGACTATTTCCCACATATACTTGCGCTACAAGTTTCCTTCATTCTCCAGATTGATTCTGTTCTCGAGTTTGAGTCATGAATTCAGATGGCAAAGGATACATTTTTTCCCCCAAGCCTCATGTATCTGGTTCCTGAGTTTCAGAGAACAAACAGCAAAGCTTCAAGATAGCGGCAGATCTATCCAAATCTATTGTTTCTGTGTTTGGAAGGCAAGGAATCCCTGTGTTGGTATTTCTCCCCCTGTGCGTAGATTCAGATCTGTTGCTTTCAGGAATATGAAGATAATCTAACATTACTTTCTTGTCAGTAGGTCATCAGACCAGAAGTGTTTGGAAATTGGCTACTTGCCATGTGAATAATAAACCATGTGTATATATCATGTAAAAAGAATGTTGAAATAAACATACTAGCATAGAGCAAAGAACACATTATTTGAGAAGCATTTGATACTATATATACTAGCCATGTGTAAGATTTTTGGGGTTTGTTTCTTAATGGGCAATTTACAGAACTGTTTCCTGGTCTGATTCTATTGTAGACAGCTATGAATATCTACAAAATGCACCTCCTGGATTTTTTCCAAGACTTGGTGTTATTGGTTTTGCTGGCATTGTTGGACTTCTTTTGGCTAGAGGTAGGTGCAATTTTGTGGGTTTTTTAAAAAACAGCTCATAAGGGAAAGATAAGATGGATGCTTGGTTCTTTCTTTTTATTTGCTGGCTGTCAGAATAATGAGTTGGTTCCTGAAATATGGACTTCTTAATATATAATTAATATGGTTCTTTTCTCTGGTATATCTGATTTTAAGCATATATAAGTTATATAAAAGTTATATAAATATAACTTTTAAGTTATAAAAATATGAAATGGAAGAAATTGTATACTCCTGGTTAAAAATAGAATATAGTTATCCTTTATAGGCACATTTACTTGATCAAATTACTATCCCTCTGGTACAAAAAGAGTAAATTTTTGTTAACTAAAGTCTGTCACACCTGAGAAACTGTCTCTTTGTTTCACTATTGAGATCAGTCTATTAATCACAGTAAATAGAATAGTGATTTCATAGAAATTTTATTAATTTCTGGATGTGTCATAGCTTCAGTCATCAGTGAGGATATTAAAATTTTTTAAACACTTAAAAGCTAACAAATGTCAACTGAAACATATTACTACACTATGCTGCTGGATTGTAAAATTTATAGGATAAAGGGTGACAAGGTACTTCACTATAATGACATAAATTTGTTATAAACTACTGAGGTTTCACTGGCGATAAAATTCAGGCTTTACAAAAATTCCTAAAATAGAGAATTGATGAACGCTGTGATCAGACTCTCATAAAAGATTAACTATCATGACTGCTTTGGTACCCATTCCTCCAGTTTTAAAAAGCTCTTCTGTGCATGCCTTAAGTGTTATCTCAGAATCTGGAGCCAGGCGGCACTGGTGCCACTCCCTCAACTTGTTACAATGACCTCCTGTCATAGTTTCTATGCCCCTCCTCCCAGCCTGTGCACAATATAGAAGTAAAGTTAGAGTTCATTTTTACTAATCAACTTGTGGAAGACTTGAACTAACTTTTCTCCCCTGCCCCATTATTCGAAACATTATTCGCCTCCTTTTTGTAAAGCTGTCCCAAAAAGCATTCCTATCTTATTTAGATAGTGTTTTAAATTTATGAAGCTCTCAAGGCCAGGGAGTTGGAGTCTTGGCTACTGTTAGGGAGCCAGGAATGTGGAATCAAGTGAAATTAGCTTCCCCACCTTCCTCTCAGGGTTAGAGCATGGCCCTAAAGAAAGCTGCTTCTGCTGTGCGTGTGCACATGCTTGCGGTGCGTTGCTGTGCTGTCTGGTGTTTATCCCCCTGCACATCCACTGGGGTGACCATCCTGAGAAAAAGTGAGGACTATGCTTTCCCCGGCAGAACAGTAATATAAGGACACCCACTACAGCGGGTTCTATTCCTTTGTTTTTGCTTGCTGGTTTATTTGTTCCTCCTTTTCCTTTTCCACGGAGGACTCAGTAGCATTAAAATAATGTAAAACTCCAATAATTCTATTTCAAAAAAGTACACATGGGGACACCTGGTTGGCTGAGTTGGTTAAGCGTCCAACTCTTGGTTTTGGCTCAGGTCCTGATCTCATGGGTGGTGAGATCGAGCCCTGCATTGGGCTCCGAGTTCAGTGGGAATCTGTTTGGATATTCTCTCCCTCTGTCCATTCCCCTGCTCATGCTCTCTCTCTCTTGCTCTCTCTCTCTCAAATAAATAAATCTTTTTAATTTTTTAATTTTTAATTTTTTAGAGATTTTATTTATTTATTCATGAGAGACACACAGAGAAAGAGAGAGGTAGAGACACAGGCAGAGGGTGAAGCAGGCTCCACGCAGGAAGCCTGACGCGTGACTCGATCCCGGGTCTCCAGGATTACGCCTTGGCGTGAAGGTGGCGCTAAACTGCTGAGCCACCTGGGCTGCCCTAAATACATCTTTTTTTAAAAAGTATGTATGTGCACACACATTCATGCACAAATATTCAACTATGGGTCTTTTCCTCGGGGTGCTGGGGTAGAAAGGCCTGAGATAAACGACGTCAGGTTTGGTCACTGAATAAGATACTGAGTAAGAGGGATCCCTGGGTGGCTCAGTGGTTAAGCATCTGCCTTCGGCCTAGGGCGTGATCCTGGAGTCCCGGGATCAAGTCTCATGTCGGGCTCCCTGCGTGAAGCCTGCTTCTCCCTCTGCCTGTGTCTCTGCCTCTCCCTCTCCCTCTCTCCGTGTCTCTCATAAATAAATAAATAAAATCTTAAAAAAAAAAGATACTGAGTAAGATGAGCAGGATGGTAGGTATGTTTTTTGGATGTCTGCAGTGGTTTGCAGCCCCCTCCAGGTGGATGGCCCCCCTATGCTGGCAGCAGCAGGATGGGCTCAGAAGATTCCTCTTGGCAGTTTCATTTCTTTTTTTGTCTAACTTTTAAAAAATTCTATTTTTTAGTAAAAATGGTATGTATTTAAGATGTATGATGTGATATTTATATATATATATAAAAGCTTCCCCAGCTCCCTCTCATGTATGTATATCCATATGCATAGTGAAATGATTACTCCAGTCAAGCTGCTTAACATATCTTCTATCATAGTTCACTTTTTTTGAGATGAAAGCACCTCTAATCTCTCTTAGTAAATCTCCAAGATTCAGTATTATTAACTGTAGTCATTTTGCCGTGTATTACTCTCTAGACTTATTCATTGTACATAACTGCAATTTTGTACCCCATGACCAGCATCTCCTCATTTTCCCCACCACTCTGCTTCTAGTAGCCACACTTCTACTGTCTGCTTCTATACATTTTGATTCTTTAAGATTCTAGATATCAGTGAGATAGTGCAGTTTTTGTTCTTTCTGTTTAAGGCTTATTTCACATAGTATGATGTCCTTTGTGTTCATCCATGTTGTTGCAAATGGTAGGGTCTCCTTTTTTAAAGCTGAATAATACTCCATTCATATAGGTACCACAGTTTCTTTACCTACTCATCCATTGACACTTAGGTTGTTTCCGTGTCTTAGCTATTGTGACTAATGGTGCAGTGAACATGGGAGCAGAGATAACTCTTTGAGATACTGATTTCGGGCAGCCCTGGTGGATCAGCAGTTTAGCGCCACCTTCAGCCCAGGGCGTGATCCTGGAGACCCAGGATCGAGTCCCACATCGGGCTCCCTGCATGGAGCCTGCTTCTCCCTCTGCCTGTGTCTGTGCTCCCCACCCCGTGTCTCTCATGAATGAATAAATAAAATCTTTTTTTAAAGAAAAAGATACTGGGCAGCCCCAGTGGCGCAGCAGTTTAGCGCCGCCTGCAGCCCGGGGTGTGATCCTGGAGACCCAGGATCAAGTCCCACGTCAGGCTCCCTGCATGGAGCCTGCTTCTCCCTCTGCCTGTGTCTGTGCCTCTCTCTCTGTGTGTGTGTATCTCTCATGAATGAATAAATAATTTTTTTAAAAAAAAGAGATATTGATTTCATTTTCTTTGGGGGTATACCCAGAAGAGGGATTACTAGATCATATGATAGGGTTTCTTGAGCATAAATGCGAAGGTAATCCTCCTCACTTGATGAGAATGGCCATGACTGGTGGTGACAAGAGGCACCTCTCTAGTAGGAGGTGAGCGAGTGATCATTCAAAGAGAGTAGACTCAGCCAGGTCACTCAAGGGTGGCAGGTGGTTGTTGCCCACTGTTGTTGTCTTCTGGTGGCTCTTCCCCTCCCCACCTCCTTCCTGAATTTTTGGGGCCCCCAGCTCATTGTAGGAACCATTAGAAGCTGGAGGCCCAAGAGCTGCTGCTTATCAGTTTTCTGTAAATGACCCAGAAATGATTGGTTGTCAGGTGTGCTGCCCTTCACCTGGACCTCACTTGTATGAGCTGCTCAGGAACTTAAAGCTTCAAGGGGTACAGGTGGGACCCCAGGGATAAGAGAGTGTTTTCTAGAATAATTTTGTCCTTTCAATCAAGGCAGTAGGATTAAGAGAGAAATATTAATTTATGAAGAGTCTAGGGATCCCTGGGTGGCGCAGCGGTTTGGCGCCTGCCTTTGGCCCAGGGCGCGATCCTGGAGACCCAGGATCGAATCCCACATCGGGCTCCCGGTGCATGGAGCCTGCTTCTCCCTCTACCTATGTCTCTGCGCCTCTCTCTCTCTCTCTCTCTCTCTCTCTCTCTCTCTGTGACTATCATAAATAAATAAAAATTAAAAAAATTAAAAAAAATTTATGAAGAGTCTAGATTGATAACGTTTGTTTTGTCTCCTGTAACCCCAGTTCCATCTTTGGAGATATGTCTGTTTAAAGTTTAAAACCAATAGATAGCACTTAGATTATCCTGACTGCGTGTTAGTAACATACATTGCACTATCATCTGTGTCCCATGTGAAAAACCCTGTGCCTCTCAGCAGAGACTCTCTAGGTCCAAGTTCATTTATAGAGGATTCTCCTGTTTCACCCTCTACCAGTTTTCTTCACCTCATTCTCAGGCTTCTCCAGTTCTCCATGCTGCTGCCTCTTCTGCCCATTCCCCTTTTCCCAGGGCTCTACATGTAGCTGGGGTACAGGGGTGTAAGAGCAGCTGTCTTTGGGAGTCTTAAATAGACCAGGTTTGGTCAGTAGTCACTGACAAAATCCAAGAAGGGAGTGGTGTTGAAACAAGAAAGGAATTTATTTCAGTGAGGCCAGCACCTGGAAGACAGTGGACTTGCGTCTCAGAGATAGTCTCCAAAGTGCCGAAAATATTTCCAGGCTTATGTAAGGAAAATGTGGGACAAAGTTCAGTGGGCAAGTGCAGGTAGTCAGTGAAGGTCAAGCCCATAGTTGTCATAGGATTAGTCACATGGAGTCTTGCTGGTTCAGGGCAGTCCCTATTGTTTGAGGGGGTAGTTTTGATTCCTATCAGGGGATGTTTTGCATGCAGGGTCTTTTGCCTGAGTTAAGAGATAAGCTGGAAAGGGAAATTTAATCTTTCAGAAAGTGCAGATTGATGGGTACCTGGTTGGCTCAATCTTTAGAGCATGTGACTCTGGATCTCAGAGCTGTAGTTCAAGCCCCACATTGGGTGTAGAGATTACTTAAAAATAAAATCTTTAAAAATTTTGCAAAAGTGCAGATTGAGGTCAAAATGGAGGTAGTTGAAGCCCTCTTTCATACATCCTCTTGCAATCTGGATGGAGGCTCAATACTTCTGTGGTCTTGAGACAGGACTCTATACTCTCTTGGGTTTGACTCCCTTGGGTTCCATGTCATCTTCTCCTTGGTTTGCTCTGCCATGTTGTTGAACTACATGCTCAAGTCACTTTCAAAAAAAGCCCATGTCAGAAGGAAACTTTCAAATCCTTGCAAATCTGAAAATTACTTTCTACCTTCATATCAAGTTGGTTGGATATAGAATTTGTTTTCCATCCAAACTTTGAAGTCCATGTCTTCTAGCATCTGGCATTGCAGATGTGAGTGTCAGCAGCCAGTCTGGATGCTTGTTCCTTCTGAAGTGATTCATTCCTCTCCATCATCCCCCCAGAAGCTTTGAGGGTCTTCTAATCTTCAGTGTTCTGGACTTCCAGGGTGTTGTGACTAACACATAGACATCTCATTCCTGGTTGAGCATCTTGGTGGCCTGCAGCCCTCAGCTGTAGGAAGATGATCTGTTTTGTATTTCCTGGACAATTTACTCTTATTCTTTTTCCTTCCTGAACTCCTGTTAATTAGCAATGGAGCTGTTTAAGCAACCCTAATATGTCTCTTTTATTTTCCTGATAATTTTGTTGTATTTCTTTTGATTTGTTTTACTTTTGTCATTTCCAAGTAGCTCTTTCTTATTCTTTGATTGTTCCTTTTTCATAGAACATTTTTTTTCTTTTAAGGTAGTAGCTTCTTGGATTTATTCAGTGATACTTAATAACAGGTATAGTTTTGTTTTTAAGTTCTTTTGTTTCCTGTAGGGTCATTTTTCCCCCTTTCTTGCTTGTCTTTATCTCCTGTTTTTTTTTTAATTTTTATTTATTTACGATAGTCACAGAGAGAGAGAGAGAGGCAGAGACACGGGCAGAGGGAGAAGCAGGCTCCATGCACCGGGAGCCCGACGTGGGATTCGATCCTGGGTCTCCAGGATCGCGCCCTGGGCCAAAGGCAGGCGCTAAACCGCTGCACCACCCAGGGATCCCAGTCTTTATCTCCTCTTTTATGTTGTAGGCTTTCCTCAAATGACTAGTGATCCTTGGTTGTACAGTCATGTTTGTCATGTTTAAGAGCAAGGTGATTGAAATGCTAACAGGATCTTTTTGTGTACAGGTGGGGCTTACTGGCCAGCAGGTTCTACCTCAGGGTGAGCTGAAAAGAAACTGACTTTACATGGAAGGTGCCTACAGTCGGGGCTCTGTGCGAGGAAAGTTCTGTTCTTCAGTAGTAACATTCGCACCACACACACCAGCTGTCTTGGTTCTCAGCAGAAAATTGATAGCATTTCTTTAGAGATACTCCCTTTTCTTTTTTTTAAAGTAGACTCCATGCCCAGTGTGGAGCCCAGTGCAGGGCTTGAACTCACCCTGAGATTAACACCTGAGCTGAGCTCAAGAGTCTGATGCTTAACTGACTGAGCCCCCCAGGTGCCCCTCTTTAGAGACACTTGTCCACCTTTGTAAAATTCTGGCTGGATAGACTGCCTGGCCACAGGCAGTTTTGCACTAAGATAGCACAGAAGAAGGAGAAAATCACCTAAGCTCTGCACAGGACTTGCATTTACATGTTGGTAGTCCTCCTGTTTCCCCGCCTCCACTCACCTTGATCTGTGGCTGCCCTCAGGTCTCCACAGCACCTGCTGTCTCTGGGCTGCCAGGGCCATTCTCCTCCCTCCTTCCCTGCAGCCCCTCCTCTGGACCTAAAAGCCATGTGTCCTCTTGGTTCTGTCCGCTCTCCACTTTCTGTAAATTGGATGAGACTTCTTTCTCCCCATGGCCCCTCCACTCGTTTCCTCTTGGTCTTGGGTTTATTACCTGTATTTTATCCTTTTACTGTTATTTTTATGGAGTATTAGAAAGGAGAGGAGAGCAGTGCTTGGGTTGAGTACTTAAAGAGGAAGCTAGTTTACTCTAAAAGAACATAAACCTTAGAAACCAGCCGTGTGCTTCTTTTCAAAACATTCTTTGTTTTTGCTCCCTTACAAGTGTTGGTTCTCTTGAAAACATTGTGCTGATGAAAGAAGCCCGTCCCCAAGGACCACATATTATGTAACTACATTTATGTGAAATTTCCAGAGTAGGCAAATCTGTAGACACAGAAAGTACATTAGTGGTTCCCCAGGGATGCCAGAATGGGGGAGTAGGGAGGGTGACAGCTAATGGCTATGGCGTTTCTTTTTGGGGTGATGAAAATATTCTAAAATTGATTGTAGGATCCCTGGGTGGCGCAGCAGTTTGGCGCCTGCCTTTGGCCCAGGGTGCGATCCTGGAGACCCAGGATCGAATCCCACATCGGGCTCCCGGTGCATAGAGCCTGCTTCTCCCTCTGCCTATGTCTCTGCCTCTCTCTCTCTCTCTCTCTCTCTGTGTAACTATCATAAATAAATAAAAATTAAAAAAAATAAAATAAATAAAATTGATTGTAGTGCTAGTTGCATATCTCTGTGAATACACCAAAAGCCATTGAGTATACACTTTAAATGGGTGAGTGATGTGAATTTATCTCACAAAAGCTGTGAAAGTGGTGGTTCTTTTTGGTGCATATGACATTATCAGGCATGTTCTCTGTTAATCTAGGTCCAAAGAAAATTAGTCTTTTTCAGTGTTAGGTGTCCAGGGCAAACTGTGATGTTAAGGGTAGTGAATTGTCTGATGGTATCTACAACCTTTTATTTAATAGGGTCAAAAATAAAGAAGCTGGTGTATACACCTGGGTTCATGGGACTAGCTGCCTCTCTTTATTATCCACAACAAGCCATCGTATTTGTCCAGGTAAGTTAGACCCAGAAAGCTGGAGTGTCCCTTGTTCTTGCTTATGCATGTTTGGGTTTATGGCTTAATATATTTTATTTTGCAGCTTTTATAGCATGAGGCTAAAGTTTGTTTGCATATGTACTTAACCACCACAAATTTAAATGTCTTTCTCTGCCATGTGCCTCACTTCTGGCCTTCCCTCCAATCGTGTCAGTATTCAGAGAGTGCACACTAATTTGAATATTAGTCAAAGAAAATTAAGATACTTTTTTGGCACATTTACATAGAAGTCTCAAATACATGAAGACTTAGACTCCAATGCTGATGGTTAGGGGTCATTTTCCATTTGGAATGTACCTAGTCCTCCTTGGAGTTGCAGGCGTAGGCCTGTGCCCTGGCCCTCTGCACCTTCTCCCTGGTCCTGGTCCCAGCCTCACTTTCCTTGCTGGGGCCTTCAAGGAGTATGGTCCTCTCTGCTGGGAATGCCCCTCTCAGGGCTCTCAGTTGGCTGCTCCTTTCTTTCCCCTCAGGCCTCAGCTTGATGGCATCCTGTCAATTCAGAGAACAGAGTTGGCAGGCAAGATGGGTCAAGCAATGATTTAGTCTGCTCAAAGTTCTGTAACAAAATACCACAGACTTAGTGTCTTGAACATCAGAAATATATTTTCTCATTGTTCTGGAGGCTGGAAGTCCAAGATCAAGGTGTTAGTATGGTTGGTTTCTCCTAAGGCTTCTCTCCTTGGCTTGTAGGTGACCAACTTTCCACTATGTGTGGACATGCCTGAGGTCTCGTCCTTGTCTTATGATGACACCAGTCATATTGGATTAGAGCCCTATTCTTATCACCTCATGTAGCCTTAATTACTATTTTAAAGGCCCTATCTCCAAATACAGTCATACTATGAGTTAGGACTTCAACATGTGCATTTCTAGGGACACATTTCAGTGTGACCAACTGTTCGCAAAATCTGGTCCCTAGCCCAGGAACATAAGGATCACTTGGCTTGTTAGGAATGCACATTTCTCAGGCCCTAGCTCGGCCTGACTAACTCAGACATTCTGAGGATTAGGGCTAGTGATCTGTGTCTTGGCCAGCCCTCCAGGGGATTCAGATGTCCTTGATGTTTGAGAACCACTGACATAGACTAGACTTCCTTAGGGCAGTGGTGTCTGGACTTAGTGCAACTCTAGACACAGAGTGCCATGTAAAATTGGCAAGGACAAGGCAAGCTCTAGGTTTTGAAGTCCTGGACAGCATATGGAGACATGGACCCAGTCACTGGAGGTACTCTGTCACGCGGAGGCTTGGTCCCAGGAGGAGCAGCAGTGCCGTCATTGGAGTTGGGCCCTCGGGGCTCTGAGCCAGACTGATCCAATGCTGAGCTCCCTGGAGCGCTTAGGACAGGATTGAGTCTGGATTCCTAGATTGCACTGCCATTGTATGTGGGAGGCCAGTGGCTCCAGCTGTGAGAAATTGGTGGCTTTGGTTAGCAGATGCCAGTAAGATCTTTATAGCATGGGCTTGACATTGTTTATAGCAGTCCTGGAGGCAGACAGTTAATATCCCTCTGCCTCCTTCAGCCCCAGCTCAGGAACAGTGAATCACGTCTGCCTGCCCTGGATCATAAACATAATCATACATCATCTCAATGTGTTGTGGTTTAAACAGTAAATGGGTAGGGTGTGGAGAGTGGGCTTAGCTGCTGGTTGAGAAGCATATGTGGCTGCCCCCTGAGTAGAGAGGTCTTTTTTATTTATATTCCACAGCATATGTTGCAAAAGATCTTTTGTATTCACAGCCAAGATAGTAGGATGCAACTATGAGTTGTATTCTAATTTATTTTTAAAGTCAGTGGGAAGGAATTTTGTCTTTTATTTTGTATTCAGAGTAAGCCAGAACACAACAATTAACTTTATTTTCACTAGATATAAAACATTAGTGATCTGTTTGGGATGATGAGAAAGTTTTGGAAATGGATAGTGGTGATGGTTTCAAAACACTGTGAATGTATTTAATGCCACTGAATTGTACACCTCAAAATAGATGAAATGGTAAATTGTATGTATATTTTGCTACAGTAAAACAAAAGAGACACCAGTGATTAAAAGAGATTTTCTGTTACTGTTTTACTGTCATTTAGTTCCTATTTTCACAGTTTTCATTTTTTTTTAAGGAATACCCTGACCTTGGACCAGCCACTTAATTGCTCTCACATTGTTTTTTGTTCAGTCATGTTTGGAGAGAAGTATTGTAAAAAAAAACCTGGCAAATGTTGTTTTCCACTCAAATTTAAAGCACCAAGAGTAGTGTCATATATGTGGTAAATGCTTGCTATGTCTACCAATGCATCTGAGAATCATATATTTTAAGAACAGAACAACTGGAAGAATATAAATTGTAAGAAACCAGTGTCTTCCAATGACCACTGGATTTACTAGCACCATGACCTTAGATTAGTCACTTAGCCTCTGAATATTTCCTTATAATTTTATGTACTTACTGCACAGAGTTGTTATTTAGAATAGAGATAATTCATGTGAAAGTGCTTTGTAAACTAAAATGCCATACATAGATGAATTATTACAAAAATGAGAAAGAGAATAATAACTGCTTTCAGAAATGTGAAGTGGAAACTCCATAGTTTGTCATATGTAGAACCAATGAATGCAAATTACTAGAAGCATTTTTTTAAGTAGGCTCCATGCCCAACATGGGCTTGAACTCAATGACCTTGACATCAAGAGTTGAATGCTCTACCAATTGAGCCAGCCAGGTGCCCCACTAGAAGCATTTTTTTTCTTTCTTTTTTTTTTTTTTTAAAGAAAGCTCAGTACTGGAGTGCCTGGGTGGCCCAGTGGGTTAAGTGTCTTCCTTCAGCTCAGGTCGTGAGCCTAGGGTCTTGGAATCGAGCCCTGCATCAGGCTCCCTGCTTAGTGGGGAGTCTGCCTCTCCCTCTCCTGCTCCCCCTGCTTGTGCTCTCTCTGTCAAATAAATGAATAAAATTGTCAAAAAAAAAAGCTCAGTACTTAAAAAAAATTTCCAACAGTTAAAGTTAGCTAGCAAAAGGTAGACCAGTGTTTTTTTTTTTAATTTTTATTTTTTTAAAGATTTTATTTGTTTATTCATGACAGAGAGAGGCAGAGACACAGGCAGAGGGAGAAGCAGGCTCCCTGCCAGGAGCCCCACGCGGGACTTGATCCTGGGTCCCCAGGATCACTCCCTAGGCTGCAAGTAGCGCTAAACTGCTGAGCCACCTGGGCCGCTCCTAATTTTTAAATTTTTTTTAATGTGAGTATAGTTGCCACACAATATTACATTAGTTTCAGGCGTACAACATAGTGATTTGAAAAGTCTTTTTTTTTTTTTTTGACAAGTCTTTACATTATGCCATGCTCACCACAAGGGTAGCTACCATCCATCACTGTGCAGTGCTATTACAATATCATACTAAGTAGTGAGCTTCTTGGCTCCGAAGTATTCTCTGACCTGGGGGCCTACCTCTCAGGATATTGTAGAAAGAATCTTTGGTCAAGAGGCAAAAATCCCTGTAGAAACGTGAATACTTTATGTTTTGGGGGACCTGGGAAAACTAACATCTTCATTAGGTTCACGTATTTTTTACCCAGGCCCTTGAAATGAATGATTGATTTTCAGCTGGGCAAATGTGCCTCGGTTGGCTTTGACGTGCTAGATGTGATAGGCGGAAGCCTTCTTTCTATGTCTCTTTTTCAGGAGTTTCACATATCACCAGTTGACCTACTACTTTTTTTTTTCCTTATACACCTATAATTTATGGCAGATTATTTTGCACAGTAACTACATGACCAAACTGTGTTTTCTTCTTATGCTGCGATTCTCATTATCTTTTTATTTGCTTATGTTGCACAGCCTGAATGTATATGTCCCACGGCTTCTGGGGTCATCATGCTTAAATACAGTTGTTTTGGAAACAGGAAAAAGGAAAGTGGAATATTCTCATTCATACCAGTCATGTATGGAATAGCAATGGATCTTTTATATTTTGTTTCAAGGTCAGTGGGGAGAAATTATATGACTGGGGTTTACGAGGATACATAGTCGTAGAAGATTTGTGGAAGGAGAACTTTCAAAAGGTGAGAAAGATCTTTTTCATTATCTTCCTTTTGGTTTGAATATATGGTTTCTCTAGGATTTTGTAAGATTCTTGATAATCCTATTGCCTGAACTTGCTTTTTTTGTTTTTCATTACACCTTTAGTTCAGATTCTCTGTTGGTGGCCTTTATTGGAGGAGCAATAGAACCTCTGTGCTTTTGGTTATCATCAGCAGGGCTGAATAAGTGGTGACCATGAAAGGCATTCCACTGTAGTCTTAGGTCATAATTTTCTCTCTATTGTATTTATAATGTGCTCAAAGTGTAGCATATTATCTGAAAGTTTTATCAAAATTGGATTCATAGGGAACATACTGTGTTCCCAGGCAAGAAAACTAACCAAGTCTCCTCCTCTTGCTATTTCACTTATTACTGCCTTCCTCCTTTCCTTTAGCAGGACCGTATCTCTTCATCCCCTAGCCTTCTTGGCCCATTTAAGGGCATGTGTCGTGGTGTGTTGGGAATCAGCCACCAGCTACAGACCATATTCTCTGTGCTGACTGGTGGATGAGCAGCAGAGGGAGAACGTTGTATAATTGTAAGAAGGTGTCATCTTTCATCTCTTCTTGCAGCCCCATAGCTGATTGAATGTTGCCCCTGTTTGCTGGAACATTCTTTCCTCTGATAAGAATGAATATAGAACAAAGCAACATGTCTCCTCCAAGCCCTTGGAGGCACTGCTCAATAAGGAAGAATTAGGGTTTTTACATTTAACATACCTTCTACATTATAGATTGAAGGAAATTCATTTTGACTTCGTCATCTCAAATCAAAATACTCTTAAAAAATACAAAGAATTCTGTCAAAATTGAAATCCAGAATTTTGAACTGGAATTTGGATGTAATGTTATAGAATCAATTATAGGGATGCCTGGGTGCCTCAGTGGTTGAGCCTCTGCCTTCGGCTCAGGGCATAATCCCAGATCTGGAGATTGGGTCCCGCATCGGGCTCCCTGCAGGGAGCCTGCTTCTCCCTCTGTCTGTGTCTCTGTCTCTCTCTCTGTATGACTCTCATGAATGGATAAATGAAAATTTTTAAAAAGTCATAAGCCCTCCTCATTATTTACATAAATAATCTACCAATGAAATCTTAAAGACTCATTTTTGTGTTAGTGGTATTTAAAGGAGTTAGTCTCTATGGAGCCTGTTTAAGCTAGCTTTGAGTAGGAAGTTCGACATTAATATCAAGTACCTTTTGGCAATCCCCTTTAAAGAATAAACACTCATAGTTTTGTTTTCATTCCTCTGACATTTTCTTTGGAAGCTTGCTTTCCTGTTTAAAGAATTCCTTAGGTCCACACTGAGTTTTATATGGGAAAGGAAATAGAATGTCGGAAAAGCTCTATAGAGCCCTAGAAAGAAACATGGAAAACGAAACTCATCCTCAGTTCCAGTTGCTCACCGTGGGGGTAACACAGACACATGTGCACCAAAGCCAGTTGGGAGGTGTCCCCTGGAGCCTCTGAGTGCTTGCTGTGGTGTCCGTGGGCAGCTCAGACCCGCTGCACATGAAAACCAGGGAGGGAATCCCTCCATAGCGTCTAGCTTGGAAGTAGCTTTCTCTACTTCAGCCCAGGGCAGAAGCAACAGGACTGTGGTTGGGATGTAAGTTAAACAGGGTAGCATTTTATGGTAATTTGAAAACATTGGATATTAAAGCTACTCACATTTATATGTGAGTCTTTGGGGAGTGAGATAGTAAAGATGTCTAATTAGCTCATGGTTGGCCTGCAGTTTTTTTCTTTAGTCTTCTGCACCCTTGTCCTCTTCAGTCACTGAGAATATAATGTTCTTTGATTTGTTAACTGTGAAAGCACAATCTTCCTGATGGTTGTGTGTTCTTGGTGGAGGTAATAAAATTGATGTTGACTACTTAAACCTTTAGCACAAGTTTTAAATGAAGAACAACAGAAAACGCTAATCAAATTTTGATATACTTAGATTTCAGGAATTATTTGATAGTGAAATGCCATTGTTTTTTTATTGATCGCTCTTCCCCCTTCTTGTTGAATTTTGTGGGTTTCAGTGGTTTTTGTTTTGTTTTATTAATGAGAGCAAAGATTTAAGTTACCCTGGAACAGGAGTCCTTTGGGGCCCAGGAACTGTCTCTTTGAGGAGACCTGGGGGACAGGACACTTCATGATTGAGATTTTTGTTTGTTTCTTAGCTTATTTGGAAATTGGTTTTCAAGTCAGGCTTGAAATTAGCAGTCTCAATTAGATGCAGTCTAACTCATGGTGGTTCGTAGTTATCACTGTAGTGATCTAACAAATGTATGTGCTTTTGTTTCTAAATAGTCAAAAGGAAATTGTGGACATCGTGTTTAAAACAGGGCTCTGAAATTTTCAATGGTATGAATGATGGCTCAGTTCTCAATTATATTATTTGCTCTGTGGAGCTGTAGTACTCTCAAAGACCCTAAATAAGCCAGTGGCATTTTTCTGCTCTGCCACATTCCTTTTCCCTTTTAGGAATTAACACTAAATGTTTGCACTGAGTCTTCGACCAATAAAGTTCGGATGAGGTAGTCTTTCAGTTCTGTCATTGTCTTTGGTCAGTTAAGAGAAATTTATCTGCTTCAGCTAAAATGAACTCTTTGTCAGAACTGTGAAGCAATGCTGGGTGTGTCCAGAAATCTTGTCAGCCTAGTGTGGTCTAGGGTTTGTTTGTTTTTTCAGATAGAAGATATCTGTTGGATTTTAAACTCTGTTTACAGGGGCACCCCACTTGCTCAGTTGTGGAGCATGTGACTCTTGATCTCAGGATTGTAAGCTCGAGCCCTACATTGGGTGTCTATAGAGATTACTTAAAAATCTTAAAAAAACCCTCTGTGTTTATAGACAAACACACAGAAGCAGAGTTTAAAATCCAACAGTATAATGACCACATATATACAATCATCCATCCACCTTTAAAAGATAGGAAATTGGGGATCCCTGGGTGGCGCAGCGGTTTAGTGCCTGTCTTTGGCCCAGGGCGCAATCCTGGAGACCCGGGATCAAATCCCACGTCGGGCTCCTGGTGCATGGAGCCTGCTTCTCCTTCTGCCTGTGTCTCTGCCTCTCTCTCTGTGACTATCATAAATAAATAAAAATTTAAAAAAAATAAAAAATAAAAGATAGGAAATTACCAGTGCCTTCCAAATTCTTCATGCCCTCCTCCTCCCGCCTCTGTCTCCCCAGAGGGAACTACTGTCCAGAATTTAGTTTCTCATTTCCTTGTTCTTCTAAAACATTGTAGTTGAGCTTGCCTGGTTTTTGTCTTGAAAATATAAATAAACATATCAAATACACATATAAAGATTTTTATCTAGATAGAGTCTATCTGTACTATTCTGTAACTCATTTTGTCCTGTTAACATGTTTATGGGCCACATATGTCTATGGTTGATTCCTTTTCACTCCTATAAAATATTCCTTTGTGGGAAATTAGCCATGTTGATGACTAGTTGTTTTATTAAGAGTGTTCCTAGGGCAGGATCCCTGGTTCATAGGGTCTGCACATCAGTTTTACTAGGTGATGTTAAATAGTCTTACTTAATAAGTGGTTATTTCTAATTTTGCCATTCTGGTAGTTTTAAAATAGTTTTTCACTATGAGGTGTGTGTTTGTGTGTGTGTGTGTGGTTTTGCTTTATTCTTCAATTTTTATTTTGAAAAAATTTCAAAACTACAGAAAGTTGCAGAAATAGTACACAGTTACTATCCTTTTCACTTGGATTCACCAGTTAACATTTTCTACATTTGCTTTGCCTTATTTTACACATGTGTGGGTGCTTATACACACAATGTATTTTCTTTTACTGAACTATGTGAGACTTAGTTGTAGGCATCATTGTGATTTCTACACATACGCAATTCAGCATGTATTTCCAAAGAATGCAGACACTATTATCACAATACCATTATCACATCAGGGAAAAGTAACATTTCCTTGTTTATATAAACATTACCTTGTATGCAGTCCATATTCAGGTTTCCCCAGTTCTTAATTCATTTTTTTATAGTTAATGAATTAGAATAAGGCAAACTCCTTCATGACCATCATCTAAGGACAAAAACAGAATTTTGCCAGCCTTCCCAGAACCCGTTCCATGTAGCCTACTCCAATTACAGTTCTCTCCCTCCATCCAAAATTACCTACTACCCTGACTTCTATAGTAATAGCCTTATTTTTCTTTATTTTCACCCAAATATTTATCCCTGTCGCTTGAGTATTTCCTCTTATTATTTCTGACTTTAGATGCCTTTTAAGTCTCCCTTCACCCTTTTTAAGTCACTTTTAATCTATAGTTTCTTCTTCTATCTTTTTATTTTCCTTACAATGTATTTGTTAAAAGAACCCAGCATATTGGACCTAGAGACTTTCTGTTAGTTTGAGCTTTGCTGATGGCACACTTAAGATGCAGTTGACCATGTTCCTCTCTTCTCTGCATTTCCTGCAGATTGGCAGCTGGGTTCAGATGACTGTTTGATGAGGTTTGTGTTTGATCCTTTTGGCAAGGCTGTAGATCTATGTAGGCACCTAAGTCTGGTTTTTACTTTGCTGTTTTGGGGTTAGTGGTTATTGATGCCCAGTGCCCAGATCCATTAATTCACTGAGAGTTAGAAAATGGTTATATTCTACCTCTGTCATGTCATTTTTCACATATTACCTGGAATACTTTAATAAGGAACCACTTCCCCTCATCTACTATTTACTCATTCAGTTAGAGGAGAGACAGGATAGATGCTTTATTTTTTCTCCTATGTATCCAGTTTTCAAAATAATGGATTGGTTCCCTCTCATCCTCAGAAGGTCACTAGTTAGTTTTTTAAATATAGCTATGAATTTGTAGATTTATACATATTTGGATTTGAATGTTTCATGATTCTTACTCCTTATTAAAATTCAGATTGTCACACTTTGGCTGATAGAAGTTGTCTTTGAGTCCTTTTGACATGACCTAAATATGATAGTTTCCTTGCTATCTAGCATGTCAC